TTTGATGTGGCCTTTTCTCTACCTTTAGTTGTGGAGTTGGCTTTGTTCAGGTCAATTTCTGATATTTAGAATGATTTGATAGTTATCTGGTTATATTCATGAGATGAAGCAAGCCTAGGATCCTCCTACTCTGCCACCATTTTCCTCTCCTACTTCTCACTTTCCTTCATCCATTTATATGTTGATAAACACTTAGATTATTTCCATGTCTTGGCTATTAAAAATAATGCTGCAATGAACTTGAGGATGTAGATATCTCTTTGAAATAGTAATTCTGTTTCCTGTGGATAAGTACACGGGAATGAAATTGCTGGATCATACGGTAGTTCAATTTTTTAATTTTTGTGGAGCCTCCATGCTGTTTTCCATAGTGGCTACACCAACTTACATTCCCACCAATAGTGCACAAGAGTTTCCCTTTCTCTACATCCTTGCCAACACTTGTTTTTGGATGATAGCCACTTTAACAGGTATGAGCTGATATCTCAATGTATTTTTTATTTGCATTTCCCTGGTAATTAGTTTTGTTGAGCATCTTTTCATGTACATGTTGGCCATTTGTATGTCTTCTGTGGAAAAATGTCTAATCAGGTCCTCTGCCCATTTTTAAACTGTATTATTTGGGTTTTTTTTTATTGAGTTGAGTTCTTTTTATATCTTGGATATTAACCCTGTATCAGAGATATGATTTATAAATATTTTCTTGGGATCCCTGGGTGGCGCAGAGGTTTGGCGCCTGCCTTTGGCCCAGGGCGCGATCCTGGAGACCCGGGATCGAATCCCACGTCGGGCTCCCGGCGCATGGAGCCTGCTTCTCCCTCTGACTGTGTCTCTGCCTCTCTCTCTCTCTCTGTGACTATCATAAATAAATTAAAAAAAAATTATAAATATTTTCTTCCATTCCACAGGTTGTCTTTTCATTATGTTGATGTTTCCTTTGCAGCACAGAAGCTTTTTAATTTGATGTAGTCCCAATTGTTTACTTTTTATTTTGTTTCCTTTACTTTTGGTGTCAAATCCAAAAAATAATTGCTAAAATTGATAACAAGGAGGTTACTCCTTATGTTTTCTTCTATGAGTTTTCTAGTTTTAGATCTTATATTCAAGTCATTAATCTATTTCAAGTTGATTTTTGTATATGATGTAGGATAGGGATCCACTTTCATTCTTATGTATATGACTGTCCAGTTTTCCCAGCACTACCTATCCTTTTAATCATTTTATATTCTTGACCCTTTTGTCATAAATTAATTGATGATATATATGCATGGAAAAGACTTGAATTCTCTAAACCTAAAGAATTCCTATTACTGTTATCATCCCTGAAATCAGTTCATGGTTTTTGTAACCATAGAATCTTCGGTCTATGAAAATTACATTCATACATATTTTTTCTTTTTTTTCAGTTCTAACACTTTGCCTCAGTTGCTACTTGAGAGGAAGAAATTTCCAGTAGCCTCAAACAAATCTGATACCTCCATCTTCAATATGTCAGTCATAAGTCATAAGCAGTATATCACTAAAGTTATCAAAGGATAATTCTTTTTCATAGTCCTAGATCTTAGGGCATTGAAACTGACCATCAGTTGAAACAATAACAACAAAAACAACAACAGAAGAAGAGGAGGAGGAGGAAGGGGAGGAGAAGAGGGAAAAGAAGAAGAAAACAAATTAAGAGTACATGCTATACATTTTGACTGTTCATGAAATTTAAAAGTTGAGAGTTATCATATACAAAGAGAAACATTTCACAGGGACACTTAGGTTTTCAGATCCCACATATCTACAGATTAATTATTTATGAATAGCTTTCCACTTAGAAGGCCCACATTTTGTCTAGAAATATCTTGCCATTCATTACCTTTATGTTTCCCAGCTGTCTTAAAGCTCAGGGAGGCAAATATAACCATCAAACATCATGATATCCCCAGAATACTAGAATTATATAATATTGTCAACCACGATTATGGCCATTAGTATAAAGTGTTAGAAAACATGCGTTTTTTTGTTGTTGTTTATTTCTTTATATGTTTGTTTGCTAATGAAGTATAAATGTCAAATATCTGGAGTGGGGAATGTACTGATTCATCAGGTTGAAATCTCTCAGAGGCTGAGACACATTTCCAATGGTTTCCCACATAACTATTTTAGAGCATAGTATTTCTACAGCTTGGACTTGTGCCTAATCATACAATCAAAATGCTTCAACCACCCAGATGTATATGGGCAAAAATAGTAATTCCACACCAAGTTATTATTGGCTTTTGCTTCCTGAATCATGGCTTGAAATCTATTTGTTTTTAGAAGTAATATTGACATAATCAGATTACAATTAATTTGAATATTTTCTTCCTAGCTTGTGCCTCCATTAGCATCTCTCAGAAATCTTTTCATAAATGGACAAAGTATTCTTCCTTAAACATCATCAGTTTACTCATAAAACTTGATCCTTTAAGGAAGTCTGACCTCCTGTGTATGTTTCAGTAACAAGATTTTTTTTTAAGTATAAAACATTGGTTTTAGATGTAGCTACTATTATTTAAGGTCGACGGCTCTAAAGTTGAAGCCAATCAGCCAGCAAGCTAAGAGATTCTGAAACATTGAGAAATATTACCCAGAGTATGAGAATCAAAACAGCCAAGTCCACGGTATAATATGGCAATGCCCTTTCTCTAATAGGAAGTATGAAGTACAGGCATCACATAAAAATGTGAAATGTGTGTGTATTAGTTGGAGTGGCCATTTGGGAAGTTTTATTTCATTTGGTTTAAATAACTTCAAGCATTACGGTAACAATTCTAAACCACCTAAAAACCTTTCTAATGGTAGACATAATATAAGTATGTTAATTTGAAATGTAGCTATTAATAACAAACGGTGTTTCATTATTGAGAGGGTATGAGTTGGGTGTTACTTTTAAAGACAGCATTTGGAGTTTTCCCAGACTAGCAGGTCAGGTTTAACATGAGTTACTGACCCAGTTAACCCTTTTACAAAGCAGCAATTTGAGGAAATCAGGCCAAATTAAATGTGGGGGTTGGGGGAGGTGAAATATGTAATCTTGATTTTGTCAGTTCCTCCACCTTCTAACTTTCATCTTTTCCTCCTCATTCCTGATACCTCAGCTTTCACCAGCTTCCTGTATTATACCCCACTTCTACTAGATCTTATGCCCATCCAGCTATTCAACAAACTTCCAAGTAACTTTGAGCCCTATAACTTTTTAAACAAGATCAAGGAAATATCACTAACAGTAGAATTTCTGGTAGATGGTGACAGGCCAGGATGGAAATAGGATCAGTGGTTGGAAGGACTTTGAAATGGGGTTGAATCCCTCGTCTGCCTTCTCTTAATTTCTAAAGGTCAGAGATGAAGAATGTTAAGAACACCCATCATTACTGTTTTTGCCTATCACAAACTTTTGCTAGACCAACCCCCATCCTATGCCCTTAAAATAGATATGGCATATATTGGCTTACCCTGACCTATCATTCTTCTGTCAATAAAACTTACACTGATCTACCATTTTTCTGTCTATAAATAACTTAGAACACAATTACTGGAAAAAAATGGCAAAGCAAAAGTTCATTCTACATTGACAGATAAAAGCAACATTTTAAATCAGATCAGATTGAAGCACTGACAATATTTAATAAAATGTTTCTAAGCAACAAAGTAGAAGAATCAAAGAGCTTCAACAGAGCTGACATTAATAGAATGAAAAGAGATCCAAAAATAGCCTCATTTTCTTATAAGCAATTCAGTCAGCAAGGTGAAACAAACTCCTTCCCAAAACTCAGTCTATTGAATAATAATATCTTTCCAAAAATTCTGCATTTCTCCTCAGCATGGCATAACCATGTTAGTAGCCAAGTTCTAATATGTATGAAAACCTGAGGAGTAAGTGCTAGAGAACAGCAGTGATGTTGATGCCCTGGCAATGTGATGGATCCTTCTTCAACTCTCGGTTACCAAGATAAACACAAATAAAAAGGAATGCTCAACTTCTCTTTTATATACATTCTAAGCCCATTTAAGGGGAAGTTTTGAAATCCCATGGCTAGTGGCACCTAGCTTCGTCAGCAAGAAAAATTTTTGAAAGAAAAATTCAAATCTCTGTAATAGGCCAGAATGAGTACTTAACAGATTTGAGTCTTGGGAAATATGTGATCTTTCCCCGTCACCATAATGCCACAAAACCAAGAACACTTTAATACTTGTAGATCAATTTTCCCACCATTTCGTCTTTGAAATTACAGCTTGGCAATCAGTAAACATTCTCATTAGCTTTTTCAAAAGATGAGTACAGGGTGTGTAAATGTCCTTTTAAAATAATAGTCTATAGAAAAGACCTGTCACATACAAATGTGTATTCTCAGCTCTCTTTCACTCTTCATTAAAAACAACAACATCAACATGTATAATGGGCTCAAGAAAAAAAAAAGGAAACCCATATGCAGATTACTGGTCTAATTGACAAAGCAGAACCGGATACTCCGATTTCCCTATTTCTGCTGCCAGCTGGAAGTGGGCATAGAGTCAGGGAGGTAAACTGTATAGATCATTCATTGGGGAAAAAGATGCTTAGTGAAAGAAATATATACATACACATACACATTCAAGGAACCATAGTTTTGGGGGTTGTTTATTTGATAGTTAACTACTCTGAAAAAACTCACCAAAAATATATATTGTATGTGTCCACTTAAGCTCACCAGAGATGATTTGTAAGATTAGGGTGCATAACATTGGTCCACCAACTTCCAGCCCAGGAACTGCACACCTCCTGCCAAAATGAGCCTGACTTTTCTTCATGTCATGTCTTTCTACACTCCATATACAAATTCTAGTACTGCTTTGCTCTTTGAAACCACCTTCAATTTCAAAATTAACTTCACCTCATCCAGTCTTTTTTCATTAATTTCCTAGGCGGACATCTTTAAGACAGGGGGTTTGATGTTATAGTTTTCATTGTGTTTTTTTTTTAAAGATTTTATTTAGTGCTTGCTTCGGCAGCACATATACTAAAATTGGAACGATACAGAGAAGATTAGCATGGCTCCTGCGCAAGGATGACATACAAATTCGTAAAGATTTTATTTATTCATTAATGAGAGACACAGGCAGAGGGAGAAGCAGGTTCCATGCAGGCAGCCCGACATGGGACTCGATAACGGGTCTCCAGGATCAGGCCCTGGGCTGAAGGCGGCGCTAAACCACTGAGCCAGGCTGCTCCAGTTTTCATTGTTTTTATTATTCCTAGCACCTTTTAATATATCTCAGTGAAAGTGTAAATTCATCCAAAAGTAAAATGTTTAAATTTTTTTGTAGAAAATGATTAGCACAGTGTCCATTTTAAACCATTTCCACAAAACTTGAAATTAAGCTGCCAGCTGCTCCTACCATTTTTCTAAGATAACCATTATATTGTGCCTCCCCTGACTTTTTAAACTATTATGCATTTTATGTTCTATAATAACTACATGAGGGAGTCAGAGATGTGAGACCAAAATTGAGTGCAAGGTTAATGTTCTTTTACTCAGCCTCCATCCCTAATACTCTGCTGATATAGCCATTTTTCATAGTAATAATATAATGGTGCTTTCATTCAGACATATTGCCTGCATTAATGCTGTCTGTCCTGATGTCAGCATGTATATTTAAATTGTACCACACCATGCAGCAAGATATTAGATCAGCCATAGCTCATGGCAGTAAAAAACAGTGCTGAATTGATGGAAAAATTTAACTGCTTCTAATTATATATTGCATTTTGAGAGTCAAACTACAAACGATGCTTTGCATTATTCTAGATTAGCCTCAAAATGACCTATGTAGGGAAATCAACTGATTTGACTTAACCTGGAGAGTACCTTGTAGATAAATCCTGAGTGGCAAGGCATGAGTTACCCCCATTGCTTGCTTCTTCTTCAAGAGTCCTGGTTCTTAAATCATTACTGGACAGATTGAGAAGTTGTACTGAACCATGAAATACTCTTTCCAGGCACAAGAGATTTGGGGAAGAGCAAAGAACATTGAACTGAGAAGCAAAAGACTTGTTTTCTTATCTGGCTCAGCCAATAACTAGCTATGTGAACACAATTTAGACCATATTTATGTCCACTTTAGATGCTCTAAGTGGCTCCCAGTTACAATACAGACCAAATTCAAGCTCCCAGTGTGCCCTTCAATTTCAGCCACTGTTCTGCTCCAAATGTCTGCAGGGTGATCTTGTTCAGTGGTAAGGTGTCCAGACTCTGCTGTGAATCCTAAGTCTGCCACTGGCCAGCTGTGTGACCTCGGGCAAATTACTTCATCTCTCTGGGACTCAACTTCCTAATTTGTAAGTGAGAAATCATAAACATAACTGCCTTGTCAGGCTGTGGTGAGGATCGAGTTGAAATTGCCATGTCCTTAGTATAGTACCTGTAGAGAGTAACTACTCTGTGTCTATTAAAGCAAAAGGGAAAAAAAAAATAAAGCAAAAGGAGTCTCTTCACAATCACACTTTAAACCCATCTGCTCCTCAATGCTTTCCCAAATGAATGTATACACTTTCAGAATCAATGGACAACTGTTGAGTTGCATTAGCAGCTCAGACATGTTGATGTGTTTGAGGTGTCTGGATGCAATAAGACTGATTTTTCTTTGATGCTTGATCCACTACAGAGTCATCTTTCATGTTTCGTCTTACGTTTCTTTGTTCCTTGTGTATGTGTACACCTGAGAGACATTCCCTCTAAAGAATCACTTCTTACCCGTGCCACTTCCAGCAAATTTCCATTCTTCTTTCAATACCACCTCTCCTGTGAAGCCTTCCCTGACTCCACCAGCCAGTAAGGCCCTGTCTTTTCACAGCAGTTTTTAAATGGCCACAAATTCCTGGACATTCCTCTCACTGAGAGTTAGGATCTGTGTTCCTTCTTCTTGTTCCTGGGTGGACTTGTAGCTGCTTCATCTGATAGGGTATGTGGCAGACATGAAACCAGTGCCTTGTGAAGCTGGGTCATAAAAAGTGATACGTCTTCCACCTTGTGTGCTAGAGCACCTGTACGTGGAGCCTGATGCTGCCATGCATGAGGAAACCCAGCTGTATGGAGAGGTCATGTGTACGCACTTTGGTCAGCAGTCGGAGTCATCACACCTTCCCATTTGGTTTCCCAGACATTGTGGAACATAGACAAGCCATCTCCTTCCCATCTCTTCCAAGTGCTTTCCAAATTCCTAACCCATCAAATCTGTGAGAAATGAAAAAAAGGTGGCTTTAAGCCACTAAGTCCTGGGCTAATTTACAAGTTTCTATGATTGCAAAAGACTGTATATATCAGCATTATAGCACTCATAACATTGCAGAATAATGATTTTTATTTGTCCTACTCTCTGGATTGTGAGCTCCACAAAGACAGGAATTATGCTTTATTCATCTTTTATGTTAGCACCAAATATGGTACCTGGTACATAATAGATGTTCAACATATGTTTGTTGAACAAATTATTTCTTAGAGAATACAGATGTCAAATAATGTTAACCTAAATTATGAGAAATTAAAAAAATATATAATTTTAGTTTATAATCACCAGAAGTTTTTGTTCAGTGCCTCAATCTCTATGAATTCTCAAAAATGCACATAATGGATGGCAGTGCTTATATATCTGTATGTACATTTACCACATGCAAATGTATGGACCCATTTTGTGTGCATTCGTTCACCCTAGAACTCCCTGCCCCACCCACCAGAACCTACATATTTATTGGGCTCTTCACTTAAAGGGATCACTTAATTTGGACTAGTTTAGGAAAAATTCTTCTTTCTTCCTGGCCCTAAATCATGCCTAAGTATAAATCCCTCCTTGAAGTCAACCTTGTTAAATTAATACAGAATATGATGAGAAGCTGGCCTCTGACTTCCAAACCAAGAGGCAGTCAGACTATAAGATTCTTAACAGATTCTTTCATGAGATATGCACACACCCTTTAACTAGCAGTGGCTTGCATATTGTTCTCTATTTTTACTCAGTTTAAGTAAGCCAAGAAAGTGCGGAGTTTTTGTTTTCATTGCCAGCTTTAGCTGACTATATATAGACACGGTATTATATGCTCACTAGACATGTAACATATATATGTATATTCACACCAAGTTTTTTCCATCGGGTTAGCAGCCTGATTTGGCTCGACTCTGTAGCTGAGAGCTCCTGGTAATACTTCAGGGAATGCTGTTCACTTGTTCCTCCATGTGCTATGCTGGGGAAATCTGTGCCATCCCTGCTAAATGCCAAGCAGAAGCTGCATTCTGGCTTCATTTACTTTGTTGGGTTTGAGGTAAATCTTTGATTCAGTGTCTACATGCAAACCAATTTTGCTATTTCTCAAATGTCTGATTCTATGAAATAGAGTTTAAGAAACCATGTGAGTCAACAAGCATGTAAGAGGGCTGAGACTGAAGCAAACATGAAATTGACTCAAAAGTGACATCACAGACTCTGAGATTGGGATTTATGGGAGGATGCCAGCCTGTGAACCCTGAAAGTGAAAAGTGGGATTTTCTGGGATGGGGTAGTGCCTGCGTGACCATACAGTAAAAACCACGGGTCAGGGGATCCCTGGGTGGCGCTGCGGTTTAGCGCCTGCCTTTGGCCCAGGGCGCGATCCTGGAGACCCGGGATCGAATCCCACGTCGGGCTCCGGGTGCATGGAGCCTGCTTCTCCCTCTGCCTCTGCCTCTGCCTATCTCTCTTTCTCTTTCTTTCTCTCTCTCTCTCTCTTTCTCTCTCTCTCTCCCTGTGTGTGTGTGTGACTATCATAAATAAATAAAAATTAAAAAAAAAAAAAAAGCACGGGTCAGGAAGAAGGAATGCATTAGCAGAGCAGTCACTGACCCATGGTCCCTGGACTGGAAAGAATCCATATTCAGGGATCTGGTAAGTTACATGAAGAAAAATAAAAGAGGAGTCAAACATTTACTGAGTGCCAGGAATTTTTCAAGGTACTTTACTTGTTGGCCCATGTGCATTGCCTCACTCTCATGGCAACTCATGTGATCCCTCTGAGTCTGTTTCCTCATGTGAGGCAATGGTTCTCACTCCCAAGGCTGTTTTACCCCATACCCACCATCACTTTCAACACTCCCCCCCTGCCTTCACTAAGATCAGGGCATCTGGTGCAAAGTCACTGTGCTTCTGAATTTCTCATTATCTTTGTTTATGTTTGTTACTGTTTTTCTTTCCTAACATCAGAAGAACTTTTCCAAGCCTCCTTCTTTGATCCCAATTTTCCTCTCTCTTGTTTCTTCAACTATTACCTCTGAGCCAGCCCTTTCCTCTCAGCCTCTAAATGGTTTTCAATCCAGAGACATCTTCTTGATGGCTATCTCTTCCAGAGACTCTCTTCAATGTCTACTTCAAGAAAGGCTGTAACCTCAAGCCCCTGAGGTTCAAATCCCTTAAACATGGTTGAAAAACTTTTCCCAGCCCTTCTTCTACTTCTCTCCATTCATACCATATTTTCTAGATCTATCAGATTATTTATTACTCTATTGCCCCAGACTGAATTTTTCCACACCTGTATCTTTGCATATATGGATATATTCTTTCTTCTTTCTTCTCTGTCCATTGAAATCTTGCTTATGTTTCAGCGTAAATCTCACATTGCACCTCTTCCTGCTTATGCAAAATTGCCACAAAATAAAATTTCTGTCTTCCATGAGTACCAACCTATTTCTATGCAAGAGCAAAAAACCCCCAAATTTCAGTGAATTAAAATAAAGTTTTCTTACTCTCATTATATATATATTGTGTATACTTCCATTCTGAGATCCAGCCTAAAGGATCACCCAATCTGGGTTACTCTTTAGCTGAAAGAAAGAACGGAGCTGGTAGAAACTCATAATAACTCTTGCATCTCTTGCTTAGAAGTGACACGTGTTTGGTTCTCTCACATTTCATTGGCCAAAGCACATCACATGGCCAAGTCCAAAGTCTATGGGGGTAAAGATGAATAATCCTCTTTCAGGGAAAGAAGTAAATAATTGCAAATCTGACCTCATGGTATTTTACTTGCATCTTTATGATAGCATGAAGCACAGTACATCTTGTACCACTTTTATTTAAG